TGGGTGAAAGAGAATATGTTTTTGAATAAATTACGATATGAAAATCTTTTATACAAGAAGAAATAAAGTCATTTGAATCGGAATAGAAGACGCTTCAATAGGAATGTATATATATATATTGGGTATGGGAAAAAGTTCGTGGCGATTTTTTAGTAAAATTAAAGTATTTTTCTTAGAGTATTGAAATCAATTTATTTAAACCAAATATGCTCCATTATTTTCTATAATATTTTGCCATTTTTGAGGCAGAACCATAATTCCATCGCGATAGAACTTCTGTGGTTTCTGATCGAAAAACTGCTTCAAGTGATTTTCACAGGCCTCTTTTGAAGCTAGCTTTACACCATTAAGAGAGTTCTGCAGAGACCTAAACAAATGATAGTCTGAGGGTGCTATGTCAGGACTATATGGATGCAAACCCAGCCAAGCTCTCGCACTTTTTTGCCGAGTCATCAAAGATGTGTGTGGTCGAGCATTGTCGTGATGGAAGACGACACCTCTCCTATTGATTAATTCTGGCCGCTTCCTCTCAATTGCTTGTTATAATCTCTGCAGTTGTTCACAGTAGAGTTCGGAATTAATTGTTTGATTGGACGATAACAGCTCATAGTGAACGATTCCCTTCCAGTCCCACTACACACACATCACCTTGTTCCTCATCAATCCAGGTTTTACAATTGCTTGCGCCTTCTCTTCTTTCTTTATCCACGATCTTTTTCTAGTTGGATTGTCATAGGTGATCCATTTTTCATCACCAGTTATCATTCTCTTCAGAAATGGCTCAATTTCATTCCATTTCAGTAGCGTATCACAAATGTTAATTCAGTCCATCATATTCTTAACACTCAACTCGTGAGGAACGCAAACATCGAGCTTCTTTTTGTATCCAGATTTGTGTAAATGATTTGAAACTGTTTTGTGGTCGATGCCTAGTTTCCTGGCAATCTCCACATGCTTATCACGCTCGACTTTTACCATGATTTCATCGGACTTTTCAGTGATTAGTCGACCGGAGCGAGGTTCATCTTTCACATCGAAATTTCCAGCACGAAAGCGAGCAGCATTTCCGTGCTGCTGATTTTGATAGAGTACCTTCATCGTAAATAGCGCCAATTTTTTCACAAGCTTGTGCAGCATTCTTGCCTTTATCGTAGTGATACTGCAAAATGTAGAGAATTTTTTTCTTATTTATTTCTATTTTCAAAATAAAATAACTTTTGATCTACTTCACTGATTTCAATCTTTTTCGACTCAAAACAAAAGTTAAAATGTCATTTTTTAAACGCACGTCTAGTGTTGCCGATGCGATTAGTTGCCGACTGCTGAACATTTAATGCCATCTAGCGGGAAAAACGCCACGAACTTTTTCCCATACCCAATATATATATATATAT